GAGTGAGTGTGTGTGAGAGAGTGTGTGTGTGTGTGTGTGTGTGAGAGTGAGTGAGTGTGAGTGAGTGAGTGTGTGTGTGTGTGTGTGTGTGTGTGAGTGTGTGAGTGTGAGAGTGTGTGTGTGTGCGCGCTGATGCCCCCTGCAGGTCAGAGTTTATGAGGTCAGGCCTGTAATTGCTTTCAGTGGTTTGGCTCTGGGCACTGAGTGACCTTTGACCTGTCTCTATAGTCCATTCACTAGTATCACCGCGGGTATCAGCGTTTGATTTAGAACTAGGTTAATAATAATCTGACTGTAACTTTTACACTGGCTGATGTGAATGGAGCAGTGTTTAGCGAGCACTATTAATGTGGCAGTAAGATAATAGTATTTGAAAGGTGATGCTCACCAAGGCTGCATTTATTTGATCAAAAATACAGTAAAAACTGAAATGTTATTACACTTTAAAACAGCTGTTTTCTATGTGAATATAACATGTTTTTTGAGCAGTAAATCAGCATATTATACTGATTTCTTAAGATCATGTGACACTGAAGACTGGAGTAATGATGCTGAAAATTCAGATTTGATCACAGAAATAAATTACAGTCTAACAGATATTCACAGAGAAAACAGCTGTTTAAATTCTAATAATATTTCTAATTTCTTACAGTATTTCTTGATCAAATAAATGCAGCCTCTGTGAGCAGAAGAGACTTCTTTCAAAAACATTAAATTGATTCCAAACTTTTGACTGGTAAAAACATGGTACTCTTCAGAAGTGTTTATTCTGTTTCCTTCATAAGATGATTAGATAAAGTCCTGATGAGAATGTAGGATGGTCTCTGTGTCTTCAGAGCCAGTGTCAGGAAGGCCATGTCCCACAGATAAAGAGAGAGAGAGAGAGAGAGAGAGAGAGAGAGAGATACCGATAAAGAGAGGGAGAGAGGGAGAGAGATACCGATAAAGAGAGGGAGAGAGGGAGAGAGATACCGATAAAGAGAGGGAGAGAGGGAGAGAGATACCGATAAAGAGAGGGAGAGAGGGAGAGAGATACCGATAAAGAGAGGGAGAGAGGGAGAGAGATACCGATAAAGAGAGGGAGAGAGAGAGAGAGAGAGAGAGAGAGAGAGA